ATGGTCACCGGGACAGGAAGTGAGGGGAAATCTCCCCACTGGAGACACATTTAACAATATAAACCTGACAAAAGTGCTAAGCATTCTTCACTCTGTCCAAAGATAAACAAAAATAGTTTTATTTAAACGACTGGATGGTGGCTTCTTGAATGCGGGTGGATGCCCCAGCGGCTGTTTACATACAAGCGTTCAGGTGGCTATAGAGCAGGGGTAGCCAAACTCCGGCCCTCCAGCTGTGGTGGAACTACAAATCCCACGAGCCATTGCAAGATTCTCACAGCCAAAAACATGACTCCCGGAGAGAGATGCATCATGGGATTTGTAGTTTCACCACAGTGTGTGATTTATTTTTCTTCCTCCCTCCGCCACCACCTATCCCGGGCTCTGCTGTCCCCCCATGCCGGCGGAGTGTAAAAAAAAAGTCACAAAATGTTTATTCCTTCGCCCCCCATACATAGAAACGCAAACATGCGTCAGGTGCGCCTACGTGCAAAAATGACGATTGTGCCACACATGTTACATATCACCACGAACGTCAGAGTGTGAGCAATAATTCAAGGGCCATCAATCACTGTTAACACTAAACTGATGAGCAGTAATTGCTTTTAAAGCGTTGTCTATGGCCAATTTTGGGCATGGTAGTTTCGCAGGCATGCTTGGGGTCTATTTAACCAACGTAACCCCATCTTTTATATTTTACCAAATATTTAGGTTTTTTTTTATATAGTAAAAAATAAAAAGCCCAGTGGTGATTAGATATCACAAAAAAAAAGCTCTCTCTTTCCTTAAAAATGGTATAAAATGAATTTCCGTACAGCACTGCATGATGGAATAAATGTCAGTCAAAGTACCTTAGCTTTGAATATTGAAAAATGGCCTGGCCAGGAAGGGGGTTTAGCACCCAGTTATTCACGAGATTGGTTCCCTTCACATCATGGCTTCCCAGGGAATATTAAGAGGAAACTGGAGCAGATAGAATATGGTAACTAATCATCTTCTCAATTTCATTCATTTTCAAAGCTAAATTAAAGAGAGAAGCTGATTGGTTACTATGGGCAGCTGCTCCAGATTCAGCCTGCTCCAGTTTTGATAAATTCCCTTCATTTGTGTTTATGATGAGCAGGGTCCATTTAATCCTCTTGTACGGTTTTGTAACTGTATTATCTCACCATATGTTGTACAACGCTGCACAAACTGTTGGCATTATTTAATTCCTGTATTATAATAATATTATTAATAATTACATGTTTTTATTGCAGGCAAATACAGTAAAACCCAATTTATCTAAATGTGAGGTGTCGGGGAGAAATGCTCTGTTGTCTGATATTTCAAAAGGAAGAAGACTCAAGAAGGCCGTCACCAATGACAGAAGTGGACCAGTTTTTGAGAGTAAGTTTGTTATCCAATTGTTTTAAAAGATACAATGCGGCATGCAACACTTGGTCGTGTTTTGTCAATGTTCTGTCCAAATCAAACGTATAAAAAGTTAGTTTACCCAAAGCTGATACTTGAGTTTTGGTTGGATATAGTACTTGGGGGTTGAATCACCTACCAATTTCTTATAGTTTTTTTTAGCAGTTGAGTATTGTGCCGTGTTGGCCATCCATTAGTGCAGAATATTTAAAGTTTAAGTGATGGACTTTATTGGCTCACTTAAGTTCCTAAAGATGCAAGCTTTTGGGTTTCTTAGATTCTTTCATCTGGCTTTTTTATGTTCCTAAAAATAGTTCTGAAACCCACATATTTATGATTTATATTTCCTTGCTCTACCCTGTAACTGTATATAAATATCTGGGCCTCAGAAATCTACTAAGCCTGACCTAAGGGATCTTGGGAATCACTGTCCAGAAGAAAGGACAGTGTCGGCACCAATTCAGAGATGATTTGAGGATCTACAGCCGAGTGATACACAAATCGGATACATTTTTGTTAATGTACTTGAATGCATTTTTAAGATTTAACTAGACTTCAAAAATACTTAAACACCATCACAGTTCGAAGCAGAAGTTAACAAGGGAAAACTACAATCACACACTGTAAGCAGGTATACAATTTTCTTGGCATGATCTGAACGCTGTAGAGAATTTACCCAGAATGTAGGTGCCAGTGCACGACCCATTATATTCTGAGATAACGGAACAAATGCTGTCTCACTTAAATCAGCCCCGTTCTTGCGACTTCCCACAAAGTTACAGTACTAATCCGAGTGATCACTGGGGAAGAGGAGACTGAGAAAATGTTTCCCCCTGCCTGCAGCATACTTATGACAACTTCTCTCATGATTTAGGCCCAGGCTCTATCGCTTTACTTGAATACTTGAACTCAACGTCTGCTTTTTAATAAGAAAAGGTAGATTGTTTGAAGAAAAAAAAACTGTTGCTGTATATTGCGACGTGTGTATCCAGGCAGACTTGTAGGTACTAATAAGTTAATGCTAAATGACAAAACAAATTTTGTAGTAATGGGATCTATCTTTTATGGTGTTTTTAATGACGTATGTTGATGTGGATTTAAAAAAAATTTGTTTTTTTTTATCCTAACAGAACCTAAAACCTCTCCTGGAGGTGGCGGTGGAGGAATGGGGGGTGGTGGTGGTGGTGGCGGCGGAGGAGGAGGAGGAATGGGAGGTGGCGGAGGAGGATTCGGTGGACCTCCTGGATTAGGCGGATTGTTTCAAGGAGGAATGCCAAAGCTTCGATCCTCAGGAGGCAGAGAAAATGGTAATAACCTACACTATTTCCATATGATGTACCATCTAATAGTGTCTAAGTTGTTATGAAATGATATGGAATGTAAACTGTCTTGCACATTTTCATCTATTCTATGAGACTGAAAGGTGGATTAACTGCTGTTGGCAACGCCTTGTGCCACCTAGTGGCCAAGAAAATATATGGCAAAGAATCTAGTACAACTACAATTCTTATTTCAAGTACAGGTCAAGCTCAATAGGCTAGTTAGCCTATGACTTCTTATCTCACTTGGAATCTACACTGGCAAGATTTCCTGCCATAGTTCCCAGCTCCTTTTCTGCGCACCTTGAAATTCTTTCTACAATGGTAAAATTTGTTACAGGTGTTTCCAATCCTTTTCATTGTATTCTCCATGACATAAAGTCAATATAATATTGTACAGGGGAAGGGGGGAAGAATTAAAAAGCAATAATAATGCCCCATCAGGTGCACCTCCCAGGGAACTCTGTAGCCACTAAGAGACATAAGAAATCATCAGGCGGTTGGCCAGGATCCTACAACTTTACTATATAGAGGGCTTTTCCTTCTCTAGAAGTTGAGATTAAGTCCCTTCAACTTCCATTTTGTGTCACTCAGCTGTCAATGCTAGAGCTTCCCGTGGCAACAAAAGCTCTGACATTTGACAATTGAATGAGGAGGTTTGTTTTCTAATGTTGCAAGGAGGTAGGGCCCAATTTAAACTTTATGAGAAGTTGTGGCCCCGTGTACAGCCTGAACCTAAGATCCCAAGTTCTCCTCAGGCATAAAATATTTGGTTTAAAGACAAACACAGGTACTTAGTGCCCGCATATTTCCAGTAATGTTACTTTATATACTTTGGCGGTCATGACAGGTTCAATTTACAGAAAAACCTAGACAAAAATATTCTTAACCCTTGCAGTGGGGCAACCCCCACCCCACAAGGCCTAACTGTTTATTTTCACTCTTAGACAAAAATGAGCATACAAGTTCTACTCACCTCAGCATTGCAGCCGGCTGGCTGTTAGACCGGTCCCTGCAGTCTTGCTCCCCTTCCGCTCCAGTGGTCTAAGGTCCTGTGAGTCAACATGTTCAATACAGTGTATAGGATGTGAGGACGCCAAGGGACATGCCATCGCTGGAGTGGATGAGGAGACAGGCTGCAGGACCAGTCTAGAAGCCGGGAGCTGTGAGGTTCAGGCGGGTGTGACTTTATTTTCACTCCTAGACAAAAACTAGCACCTAACCCTTGCAGTGC